GGACAACACTGTCATCCGCAAGAGCGGGGCGCCCCCTGCAAGCTGTGGGGGGTTTGAGCAGACGTTGCTCTGGAGTTGCATGGCGTATCCCGAGGCTCTCATCCCCATGCAACTGGTGCCGAAGGCATCAAAGTTGCAACCAGTGTGCTGCGTTCGCCTTCCTTCTTCGACGGAGTAGTAACGGGTGGTCACAGAAGGACCATCATTGATGTGAGCACAGTTGCATTTAAGCACAATTGGGCGATGTCGTTTTCTCTTTCTAGTGAGGGCACGTTTCCATGTCAGCACACTGGCCTCTCCGCAAGGTGGGTCTCGCCCTGCGGCCCCTCAAAACCTGGAGGGGTTTTGTCCCTAGAAACCCAACACAGATATCTATCTCCATTTGGATTTGTAAAAGTAGGTGTCAAGGGGCCTCTCGCTGCAGGACTCCCAGCACTTCTGAAATATATAAGATGCTGGTCTAGTCACAAAGAACACCCACTTCTTTCCTATCCCCCGATACCATTTGGCCTCCAAGTGATCACAGCTGTCTGTGACTACACACAGGATTAGAACGGGACCTTCACCCTGTGCACACAGAATTGTACTGGAGAAACGACACCACCTGCCAGAGTGAGGGGGGCCGCCCCCTGGGAGACCCTCAGAGCTGCTGCAGAAAGACAGGGGCAGGGGACACAGAACTGGCTGGGCCAATTCTTGCCCACAGAATCGCCCTCTTCTGGGGCAGCAGGTTGCCTGGAGCTGCAGGTGCCGAAGCTTCCCCAGGGCCTCCAACCTGCCGTGTGGGTGGACCCAACTACGAGGACTTCGGACCCCGCCACTCCTGCAGTTTATGCCATCTAGGGTCACAGTATCTTGACGTTTGTTAAGGTGAGTAACTGACTTTGTGAAAATAAGTAAACGTAAACTTTAAGTCAGTTTCTTAAGACTAAATATATTTTTAAAGTTTACTGATCTTAAGGCCATGAGAATATAATTTTGGTCACCTTATTCTTTCCTTCAAATTCTAATTTTCTCAGGTTTTCAAAATTGTTGTATACTGCTTAACCTTTAAAAAGGGAAGTTTTGGGCATACGTCTTTTCGTTTCGTGGGCAAACTGTCTAACACAGGGAGAGAGGCCATTTGCCTGTCAGTCAAGCCGCCTACAGGAATCGGTAGGTTCTCTTTTAGCAGTATTTTCGCTGGCACACCCAGAGCAAATCCTTTCTGCAAATGGACCAATAGCATGAACTTACAGAGTTTCTGCCAAAACTCTGGTACCAGACACTAGACCAGTTCAAATGAAGTTTGGCGCCTGGTGACAATTTACAAATGTGCATGGAGCAAGTCAAGGCGGTTACCCCAGAGGGAGCAGCATGCTCTTGAGTGTGCTTTGTGTGTGGGCGTGTGCACACGTGTGTGAACATACATGTGGCGAGTGCGTGCTCCTCAGCGAGGCAAGGCTGCCGAGCCGTCTGTACCACCAGGGCATTTTCTCATTATGTGGCATCACTCTAAGAAATCATCTGTCTCATGCTTGCACAAATATTTTATGTAATAAATTTCCAGCCTGAAAGATTTTTGTTTTTCTTTTGCTTTTATTACAAGCATATAATATTAATTGGCAAAACACTGAATACAAGCTTCACTATCATAAAATCAAAACATTTAAGCAGTATTCCAAAAAAGATATCAGACAAAAACTAGCCACCAATAGTACAAAAATTACACACCAACACAAAGCATAAAAAATGTAAACTTTCAAATTAAACAGTCAAAAATATGTATCTGCATTATCATTTCCACAAACCGTGGCAGCTTTCATCTGTTTGCCACACACTGATGATAAAGGCTTAGTGTCCCTTAACCCAACGTTACTTTCGTTTGGGAAAACATGTTTCTGATATCCAATTGTGCCACCGGACAGACCCTTACGCTGGAGCTGCGCACGCCTTAGGGAGCTCAGGCTCCAGCTCCTTCCGACGAGTCGCCCCTGGGTACCAGCGAGCTGCTCCGACGGGAGGGGAACCCGCTCGGCCGTTCCCCACTTGGAGCCTCAAGGCCGTTCCCCGCCAGGCAGGGAACATAACATTTGTAAAGATTACGGCAGAATCTGAATGATCTTCTAATCTACTTATCTCAGTTTATTTACTCAGTTTATTAAATATCAAGGCAGAGAAATACATTTGTTTATCATGTTAAGGTCACGTGTGATGTGGTGGAGCTCAGATGATTTCCTGAGGAAACAGAGGAATCGGATTGTTTGTGATTTAGCTATCTGCACTAAATTTATTTTCAATGTTTGAGAGCACATTAAATATTCACGTACAATGTAGAAATCAGCTGGCTCATTCCTAGAACATTCGCTCCAATGCCACATTCCAAACCACTGTAAAATACCTTCCTGTTTGATTTGAGGAACAAACCAAGTGAATCTCCAAAGACTGGGACTGCTGTGCGCAGTCCCAGAGGCCAACTCAACGGAGGGCTCAGGCCTGTGAAGGGTGGCACCCTCTGTGCTGGTCCCCACTCCCAGGGCCCAAGCAAGATCCACAGGTCAGCCCCCCCCCCACTTCCTGCCTGCCCAGAGCATGTTGTAAATATTGCTGCAGGCTCTCTCCCACCCACTCTCACACTCTCCCAATAACAGCATTCTTACCATAATAACAATGGAAAAGGAGAAACCAAATAGCTGAATGTACATATTTTGAAATTCCACCTATATTCCCTTTCAATTTAGCAGAATAAATGCTACATTACAATTTAAACAGATGTCTAACAAACGCATGTTGGAACCTATTGCACAAAAGCATAAAAGATGCTCTCCATCCATATAAAACAAAAACATACAAATTAAAAGCTACTCAAAGTAAAAAGAAGCTTGCAAAATATCTCACAATTTCATTTTATATGCCTGTAAATAAAGCTGGACCACTGAAACCAAACAATTGGATGGGAAAATATGATAGAAGGCTTAAAATAGAATAAATAATTTTATAAAGTTACGTTTTCTTTTTTAACCCCCCAAATCTTAAATTCAATATTATATATTCTATCTGCATTTTCTATTTTCATGAAAACTGTATCAAGTGAGACCATATTCTGGGTAAGCAGCCCCACTGTTGAAGATGATGCCTAAGGTAATTTAACAGCGTTTGTGTTACCAGCATAAACGGTCGTGAAAACTACTTCACAGTAACGCCATCTGTTAAAAACTTAATAGGATCCTGGCTTTCATGCTGGAAAAAATAAAATTCAGCCTTTTGATGTTAAATGAGAGCTTGACAGAAACGAAGGAGACCGCCCGGAAGCTTCCGTCTGCCGGAGGTTCATCATGCTCCAGTCTCTAAACCACATAAGGCTACGAAGTCAGACCAAAGAGGCAGAAGGTCACCAGGGAAATTGTCCTGTAGTGAGACAGTCTGCATGATGAAATCTTAGAAAAATAGGTACTTTTGCTGCTGAGGTTTTGTCAGGTTAACACAATTACAAAAGCAGGGTCACACCAGCTGGAGACGTTAACACTGGCTTCGACTCATCCCCACCTCTCTGTGTATGAAATATATCAACTTAGCACCATAGCAAAGTCAAGTGATTTCGAAGATAGCTACAAAGTTACAAATATACATTATGAGATTATTACAGTGATACTAAGTTTAATCTGAACTGTGGATTAATTTTATTTGAATTTGGAGGCTCATAACTGTTTAATCCTTCCTTAGTTTCACCATACAGGAAAATACCTAAATTCTAATGTTACACTGAAAACTGCATTGTGATAATATATGGTTTTACAGAATGCTTCAGCAGTATGTATATTTTGAGGTAGACAGGTAATATTTACTCATACACATCTACTCACAAACCCCTGTAGTAACTCTAAAACATGATTTGGATGAACAGCAAGCTTAGGTAACTGAATAATTCAAACGGTCCCAGGAGTTAATGGGTTTAAATAAAGAGGTGAATTTTGACCAATTCCTAACAAAGAATTTGCTTTTATGTCTTAAGAAGGCCTTGTAATGCAAACCGCTTGGGTGGAACTAATCTGAACATTTCCTGTCCCCACGGCTGGATCCCCAGCAGCTGCTCCTGCCGTCCCAGCTCCTGCCATCCCAGCTCCTGCCATCCCACCGTCCCACCGTCCCACGCCTGTCTAACAGGAAGCAGAAGAGAACAAGCAAAGCTGAGTATCGATGAGACAACAACTTTCAAAGCAAAGTCAAGAAACAATTCTCGCCTCTAAGGTGAAATACTTCATGGAAAACCTGGCTGGTGGCCAGCGGGAGACGGGACGACCTGCTCATCTATAACGTCTCAGGGGAAGGAGGAGGAGGGAGGGGTTCTAGGTTCAACAAGAAACAAACAGGAACATTCAGGTGGAGATTACAACGAAGGCTGCAGGACAACACGTCAACTGCTCCAGAAAATGGCTCCTTTCTCCCCATTCTTGCCTTTATACATCCCAAGTTACAGTTTTAAAGGAAAAAATGTTCACGTGCTGGTAAAGAGGTAATTCTGACCCCTAATATTTGACAAAAATATTAACGTGTGGGAGGAGAGGGGCTGACAGTGCACACTGCCCATGGCCGAAAGGCAGCTCCTTGGGGCTGGAGCAGTTTCCCTGCCCACCCCATCCTCCACGACGCTCGAAAAGCCACCTTCCACTGGCAGCTGCCACAGAGTACACGAGCCATTTCCACCAACAGGGAGGGAGGGGAGAACTGCGGAAATGACCCCGCCACCAGTGCTTGTGGGGCGCGTCCTGTATATACCTGACGCTGTTACCAGCAAACGTTCCCCATGGCGTCAGTCGCTCTGTGCTGCGTTGGAAGGGCCTGGCAGGGAAGGAGTCCACCAGACGCCACGTCTCTCTCTTCAGCAAAATGAAAACGGGAAAGAGTAAGTAGGAAATCAAATGATGGCACTGAAGGATCTGTGCCCTTTTTAATAAAGAACTTTTTAAAAACAAGAATTGTTTTGCAAACCAGCACTGAGCTGGTCAAACCGCCTCTGGTCTACCCTGCTGAGTGTGTCAGAAATCGCAACCCCGTGTCTGTGACCGGGCTGTGGTGGGTGCAGGAACCCCCTCACCCAGCCTGTGCTGAGCGTGTGTCCCAAGAGAGTCTGCGCGCTGACCAGCCTACAATGTCACACAACACAGAGGCTAATGAGTTAGAGGCTACTGTCTTTGTTGTGTTTCATAAAGTGGGAAATTAAATACTGTGGTTAAATCATAACATTAATGGAAACTTCTTTTGGTATGCTTTTAAATTAAACTTTTATATATCTTCCAAGTCTTCAGGAAGCTAAAGGCAACATAAATATCATCATTCACCATGAAAAGATATTTTTTCAATAACTTAGGAAGGATTCTATAAAAGTACAAGTATTTTTGAGGCTTACCATAAACCTAATTCATAAACTAAACTGAAATGAACTCAGATTAATTGAGACCTGGAAACAAGCAAAGGTGATCTGTGTCAGGAAGGTGACTTTCAAACCGTGTCACACTACATTTATGACTCTGGTCTGTGAACTGAAGCAAAGAGAAGAGCATCATTCAGCTACACGAAACTGTGAAGTGTTTTCATCCTCTGTAAACGTGGTGCTGGTAGTGTCTTGTCGAGTGTGAATTCTCTCATACAAAAGTTATAAATATTCTCTATTCAGAAGTCTGGTCCACACGACACCCAGAGGCGACATTCTGAAGTGCGTGGCCACGAGGACACCCGCACGGGACGCCCAGGGGTGTGAGGGCCAAGTCTGCAGGTGCGGGTGCTGCTCACAGCAAGTCCATCTTGGGTCTGTAGTGCAGCAGGAGAGGCGCCTTCTGGAAGACACAGAACACAGGGCACTCCTAGCAGGGCGGACAAGAGCAGCTCAGCAGGGGAGGTGAGGCCTGAAGAAACGTGCGTGGACACAGCCCCACGAGCAGGGTCTGGTCCTGAGTGACGTGGAGTTGGGCCAGAAAGAGGCTGGAGGAATGAGCCCCAGCTGGGCCTGGCCCCGCCAGCCTCCACGCCCCTCCCCGCCTCCCTCCAACCTCCAGTCCAGCCCCAGGTCAGCCCAGGCAGCCCTAGGACAGGGCTCCACACCTGCTTCCTGCTTCAGAAAGAGGTACCCAGAGGCTCCAGGGCCCCCTCTGCCTGCAGCGGCCGACCTCCCAGACCAGGGTCAGGTGAGGGAGTCCACCTGGGCCCAGAAGGCTCTGGCCTGGGGACTGCACCTGACTCTGGGGTCGATAATTTCAGAAAGACTGAAAGTGCACTTCACAGCGATCTATGCTAAATCATCTAAGTTCTCAAGAGAAAAGGTTAAGCACAAACGAGTAACTGCCATTTGTAACAGATTCTGAAAATTAAATAAAACTATTAGAAAGTGACAAGTCTCACCTTGAATCTCCACCTTGTGACAACCACAAATTTGAGTGTGTGGTCCTTGCCCAGGATCTCCTCATTGCATAAAATGTCCAGCTGGCGGGAGAAGAAGCTTCGATTAGAGGATCGAGGATGCGCCAGCACACACAGCCTCAGGCCTACACGCAGGATGCGCCTGGCTGAAAGGATAAAACCTCTGCGCATCTTTGAAACGTGACCCCGCCATCGTGTGCGAATGAACGTGCACAGAGGCGAGGTTTGGTTCACTTATTCGTTTATCCCTGCCTCGTACCAAAAAGGAAATCTGGTGCAACACATCAGCGACAGGGGCCAGCAATGCTCCTGTTCAGACCAAGTGCTCCTCCCAGGGGCACAGCGGGTCCCTCGGGTTCGGAGCACCAGACAGCCCCAGAGATACTGGCCCGGCTGCTTGCACGTGTTAAGAAATGAGGCTGCATATGGCTTGTCCAAGCCCACGCTCCCTGCTTCTCTGAGACACCAGGGAGGCCAGGGTGGCCTCTCCCTCCCTCCCCCGAGGCCCCTGCACTTCCAATCTGGCTACACCCTTGCCACTGTCCTGGTCCCCGTCCACCACACTGATGCACTAAGGAACAGGGAGAGGCAGTTGGCACGGGAGTCACCAGCCCCAAGGGCCTCCAGGATTGTTAAGGGTTCAGGCAGCTCTTGAACCCTTCTTGGCACCCTCGTCAATAGGACAGCGCCTGCACAGGGGCACCAGGAGGCCACAGGACAGACACGTCCGCCCACCCCACACTGGGGGGTCCAGCCCATGCCGGGTCCAGCTCACTCCACCAGGCCAGCCCCAGACTGCTCATCCAGGGAGCACCAGTCCCTGCCAGGCCCCACCTCTGGGCCAAGCCATCCCTCTCACACTCTCACAACAGTGGGAAAAGGAACTGGCTCCCGCTTTTTTTTTTTAATTAAATAGATTTTTACTTTTTTAGAGCAGTTTTAGCTTCACAGCAAAATTGAAACGGAGGCCAGAGTGCCCCAGTACCTCTGCCCACACACACGTGAGCCTCCCCACTCTCAACATCCCCCCAAGAGTGGTCTTTGGTCGCCATCGATGAACACACATGGGCCAGGCCACCATCACCCAGAGTCCAGAGCTGACACAGGCCTCAGTCTTGGGGCTGCACAGTCTGTGGGTTTGGACGAAGGTCTGATGACATGCGTCTATGGTTACAGCATCAAACAGAGCAGTGTCACTGCTCATCCCACCCTCCCCCGACCTCTGGCAACCACTGATCTTTTACTGTCTCCATGGTTTTGCCTTTTCCAGAATGTCACGTAGTTGGAATCACAGTCTGCAGCCTTTTCAGATCGGCTTCTTTCACTTAGCAATGTGCAATCAAGCTTCCTTCATGTCTTTGTGTGGCTTCATGGCTCATTTCTTCTTAGTGTTGATAACACTGCATCGTCTGGATGTGCCAGAGTTTGTTCATCCATTGCCTACCGAAGGACGTCTTGTTGCTTCCAGATTTTGGCGATTATGAATAAATCAGCTATAAATATCCATGTGCAGGTTTCTGCGTGGACCTAAGTTTTCAGTTCATTTGGTAAATACCAAGGAGTGTGACTGCTGGCTTTTGTGGTAAGACTGTTCGTTTTCTAAGAAACCACCAAACTGTCTCCCAAAGTGGCTGCGTCATCCTGTGTTCCCACCAGACCGGCAGGCGTTCCCGCTGCTTCCCACCCCCATGAGCGTGTGGTGCTGTTGGTGTTCTGGATTTTGGCCGTTCTCACAGGTGTGCAGTGGTATCTCATTTTAATTTGTGCCTCCCTGAGGACGTATGATGCTGACCCACACTGTCCTTCAAACTCCTTCGGGGATGGGGAGGAGCATCCCCCACCTTCGGGAAGGGCCAGGCACGGGCCAACCCAGGCCGGCTCTGAGAGCATCTCGTGGGTGCTCTAATGAGGCACGAATCTGATGAAAGTGGGGGTGGGGGGTTAGCACTGGAGACGGCCTCACGGGCCACCTCTGAACCTGGCCCGTGCCGCCGCCGTCAGTATTCCCCACCAGCGGCTCCTAGTCCACACTGCCCATCCGCACACACACTGTGTGCATCCCCACCAGAGGCCAGTGGTCCCCATCTCGAGGTTGGTGTCCTCGTCCTATGAGTCCCAGAGACTCTCAGTCCTCAGCGCTCAGATCCTGCCACCCTGTGGCTGCGCAGCACGTGTAAAGGCCCTCAGGGCGTCCCAGGGACCCCTCGGGGCTCTGAGCTGCAGGTTGAAACCCACCGTGATGCAAGCAGGGGCTCCAGGGGCTGATCGCCACCTACTGTGGGAAAACCTCACATCCTTCCTTCTGGTGGTTCCCAGGGAGGAAAGGGCCTCACCCTGGACTACCAACCTCTCCTTGGGCCACCCCCAGGTGTATTTCATGCCCCTGCTTCCAAATGAGCTTGAGCACCTCTGCCCTCCTAGGAAAATCAAAGTACCTCTCACCCCTCTGCCCCCAGACACTGTCCTCTAAACTTAGCAGAAAGCCTTCTTCTGTTTTCTTCTCTCCTGTCTCCTCACATCCTGACTCGGTTTCTCTGAGGGCTCTGGGCAGCCCTCGTGGAGACTCTGGCTCCCCGGTCCTCAGCTCACCTCTCCAATACCAGCCTGTCCCCAAAGATGCCACCCCTGTGCTCAGGCCCCCGCAGTCATTCCTGACCCCTTCCTGCCCTCTGCAGCCCCACCGAGTCCACCAGCAACTTCTTTTGGCTTTCTCTGTAGTAGTGTCCTGGGGCTGTCGTGGGAACTGCCAACGCTGGGGCTATAATCCATAGACATTCATTGTGTGGAGCCCAGAAGCCTGAAATCCAGTCGTTGCCAGGGCCATGCTCTCTCTCCAGCTCTAGGGGAGTGTCATAGTCTGTTCAGTGCTGCTGTAACAGAACACATAGGCTGGGTAATTTATAAAGAATGGAAATCGATTTCCTCACAGTTCCGGAGGCTGGGAAGTCCGAGACAAGGTGCTGGCTGTGGTGAGGGCCTCCTGCTGCGTCCTCACGTCGAGGAAAGAGAGAACCCACTCCCACAGCGCCTTTCACGGCAGCATGACTCCATTCACGGGGTGGAGCCCTCACGACCCACACACCTTCCAAGGGAGCTGCACTAGGGATCGAGGTTCCAGCACACGAATTTTGGAGGATCCTTCCTGTCTCTTCAGCTCCAGGAGGACTGGAGGCTCCTTCTTTCTGCCATTTCCCTCCAGCCTCTGACTCTGTGACTCAGTTGCCACAAGTCTCCCTCTGCCTCATACCTGTAAGGACTTGTCATTGGATTTAGGGTCCTCCCAGATAATCCAGGATCATTTCAGCTCACGATCCTTAACTTAATTCCATCTGCAATGATCTTTTTTCCATGTAAGATCCCATTCGTAGGCTCCATGGGTCAGGATGTGAGCTCATCTCTTTGGGGCCACCACTGCGCCCACTTGCTCCAGAACACGTCTCAAGTCCGTCCACTTCTCCACCTTGCCTGGCTCCACCAAGGCCAGTCTCTCCTGCTTCCACATCTGCACCCCACAACCCATTCCGCACAGTGCACCTCAAACCTGTGCCCGCTTACCGCCCCACGTCTCTCTAACCTGTGCAGAGCTGGATCCTGTGATGGTCTGCACCCTCCACCCAGTGTCCCTGCCCTGGGGATGTTCACCTGTACTCGCATGCTGCAGCCCCCAGCCCCCCTCCCACCAGCAGGCCACCGGGTTTCACTACTCTCAGTATTTATCACAACTTGGAAGTGCCCCTTCTGTCCATCCATCCATCCATCCATCCATCCATCCATCTATTCACCTGTCCATCCCTCAGCCCACCGACCACCCACCCATTTGCAGAAGTGCAGAAGAGAAGAATCCCTCCTGAGGAGGAAAGTCCCCAGCCTGCCATAACGCAGTCCCCCCACTCTCCACCTGCAGGGGGCTGCAGGCGCCTGGTCCCAAGCCTCTAACAACCCTCACTGTTTCCTACCACGCTATCTGGCAGGGTAGGCAAAACAAATTAAGTTTTTTTCTGATTAAAATCTCTGGAGTTGGGCCGGGTGTGGTGGCTCACACCTGTAATCCTAGCACTCTGAGAGGCCGAGACGGGTGGATTGTTTGAGCTCAGGAGTTCGAAACCAGCCTGAGCAAGAGCGAGACCCCGTTTCTACTAAAAATAGAAAGAAATTAATCGGACAACTAAAAATATATAGAAAAAAATTAGCCGGGCATGGTGGCTCATGCCTGTAGTCCCAGCTACTCGGGAGTCTGAGGCAGAAGGATCACTTGAGCCCAGGAGTGTGAGGTTGCTGTGAGCTAGGCTGATGCCACGGCACTCTAGCCTGGGCAACACAGTGAGACTCTGTCTCAAAAAAAAAAAAAAAAAAAAAAATCTCTGAAGTTGTTAAGAAAAAACAAACCCAAGAATTTTAGAAGTATCACTTTTACAAAGAAGACATGACTTGTTATAGTTCCTACTTATGGATCAACTATTACCTCGTTGAAAGATGAAAGGTTGAGTTTCTTGGCGATGAATTTCTTCAGATGTAAGACCGTGGCCTGGGCGGAGCAGCGGATCCATTTCCGTTTCAGCCCCCGCAGTTTGCTGCTGTTGCACTCCAGACAGATGCTCACCTTTGAGAGGGAGGACACATGGACGCGTCAGGACGGATCTGACTGCACTGTTCCTAGGAGGCTGTCTTAGAAACCTACTAATTCCTAAATCTAAGACTGCTGACCTTTTTGAAATCAGAAATCTGCTTTGAAATCGGAAATACTGCAGAAAAATAATTTTATTTTAATCATTTTACACACATTGTCTTAAAATGTTTACAGTTTGCTTGACATTTTCTGAAATATAATCTAACCCTGTTAATTCTATCTTATTAACGTAATACCTTAAAGTAAATCCCAGAGTCATTTCTCCATCGCAGGCCTGAGTTCTTGGTCTGAGTTAAACCTGTCCTGAGAGTTTCTACCCAGTGGGGTGCAGAGCAGTCACCCTCACGTCTCTGGCACGATGTGCAGAGACGCAGAGCAAACAGTGGCAGCGACACTGATCCCACCCGGTGCATCCAGGAAGGTTTTATGAGGGAAGGCGTGCTGTGCTTGGCTTTGAAGAGGACAGCAGATGCACCAGAGAAGAAAAGAGCATTCTTGGCAGGTCTGAAAGTTCATGGCTGCCATCCAGATGCAGCAGCCACGGGGTGAAAACACAGGTGAGCCCCGGGTGCCCAGGAGATAAACAGCTGAAAGTGACCGCAGAATCACAATGGCGCGGTGCCAGCAGACACAAAGGGGAATCTGCTAAGGGGGACAACCCCCCATCCCAGGCCCCAGGGACCCCAGGTGAGGAAGTAAACGTCCCCAGCAAACGTCCTTCAGTAGTGGCCACAACAAATGGCACAATCAGGCCCCTAAAAATCCAGATAAAAGGGCTAACAAAGGAATTGACTGAAATCTATCTAAAATTTCAGAAGATACAAAAGAAAGGTTAAAAACGTGAGACATCATGAGTAAAGAACAGACAGGTATTGAAGATAAGGAGATGTAACTTTTAAAAATCAAAACATTCACCGAGATGAAAAACTCAGTGGATGGCTGAGCCACAGATTAGTCTCAGCTAGAGACAGAGTCACTTTCTAAAAATTCATTTGAAGGAATTACCGATAAGAAGTAAAGAGACAAGGACAGCAATTAATGTAACAGCACAATGAAAAGTTAAGAGAAAGGAAGACAGAGGGAAGAGTGGGGGCACCAGAGGGAAATGACAGACAACCTGGGAAAGGCAAACTTTAAGAAACAATGAAAGATGTAAATCTTCAGATTCAGGAAGCGAAACAATCCAAAACAAAAGAAATAAAAGATACAGACCCAGATACTTGCAACTGCCATCAAAGGCCCCCCAGGAGCAACTGCAACTGACCCAGAAAACAAAGAGCCCCCACGGTACGGACAGGACAAAGAGCTAACAGGGCCATTTTGAGCCAACTGTGAAGAGACCAGCAAGTAGCCCAGGAGGACAAGCCCTGGGTGCAGAGGAGGCCCCAGGGTGTGAGTCCTTGGGGAGCAGGGTGGGGCCTGGGGTGCGGCTGGGCACAGACTGGAGGTTAACTTTGGACTTTTTAAAAATGTAAATATTCATTTAAACATCTTGTAACCACAAAATAACAGAAGTAGAACTTAACAACTTAACAGTAGAAGCGAAAAAGGGATTAAAGAAAACTCACTAACCCAACAGAAGCCAGAAGGGGGAAGTTCGAAAGCAGAGGCCAAGCCAACTCGCGGGAACCTTGCAAACGTAAAACTACTTGCCGGTTAAAGATTTTCTAATTTGATTTTTAAAAAAATCTAGCTCTGTGCTGTAAAAAGTGTCACATTTAAGGAGGATATTTTAAAAAGGGAAATACCTGGTAATATTAACCCAAAGAAGCTAGATTACTATTAGATAAATCAGACTTTAAGAAATAAAGCTTATTGAGAAAAAAATCCCCTAAGGAAGAGAGACATTTCTAGACCTGAATGCACCTAGTGACACTCACACTGACTGGACACGAACACACAACCACTGAAGGGGCTTCTCTTTCCCAGCAAGGGAGAGCGGGTCCCACCCTCTGTAGGCAGACACCCTCTCGGGCTCGCAGAAGTGGGGTCGGCTGGACCCCAAGTGATGGGGTCACAGGTGCTATGTGGACTGTAGTGCAGCCAGCTAGTAAGCAGCCCCAGTCTGCACCGTGCACGAAGCTCTGCAGGCACAGCCGGGAGAGATCCCAGTGCCCCAGGAAGGTGTGGGGGCCTGAGGGCACCAGTGTGGAAACTGCAGGCTCTGCTACGCACAGGACAGAAGAGTAGAGTTCTCTTTTTGTGTTAAGGAAAGGTGGAAGAAAGCAAGCATTTATTTTTGCTCAGATTTGCATAAATTCAGGAAGTAGCAGGAGGTGATTCTCCACATGGGGCCAGGGCCAGTAACAGGAATGAGAATGGAATTTAAACCTTTTATATGATATTAATCTTTGGACTATGGAAATGTATTGCCTACTTAAATACTCTAAATTACAAACATGCTTGTGATTTTTTAACAGTTTTATTGAGGTATAATTTACACACACTTCTTTTAAGTATCCAATTCAATAACTTTCAGCAAATTTACAGAGCTGTCATTTCCAACAACTCTGGCTCTCTGCCATGGACCCCACTGCTTCCCGCCCCTGGCAATCACTGCTCTTCCTTTGTGGTTTTAACTTGCATTTCCTAATGCCTAGTGATGAGAGCATCTTTTCATGTGATTATTAACCAAACTCACAACTCATGGCCTGAGCATCCCGGGCACCCCGAGCACCCCGGCCTCCTGAAGTGCCGGGATCAGGAGCATGAGCCCAGCCTTCGAGCCGTCTGTACGTCCTCTCTGGGGAAGTGTTGACTTGCATCTCTTACTTAGCTGTTGGGGTTGTTCACCTTCTTATTGGGTGATAAGAATGATATACTCTGGATATGAATCTTTTATCAGAGATATGACTTGCAAATATTTTCTCCCAGTCTGCAGATTATCTTTTCATTTTCCTCATAATGTCTTTTGAAGAGCAGCAGTTCTTAGTTTGATTAAGTCAATTCATTATTCTTCTTCCATGGATTATGCTCTTAGTGTTGAACTGATAAGGAAAACCCCCATCTGTTACTTGGCACATTAGCCACCTGAGACCCCCACCCTGCATCAGCATAATACTAACCTATTACTTGGCCCATCAACTAATTTATTACCTGGTGCATTGGCATAACACTAACTCTATTATCTGACATGTCAACTAACCTATTACCTGGCGGGCATTAACCACCTGACACCCTACCCCCCAGGCCACCACAACTTAATAAAAGTGGGAAAAATCGGCTAGATGGGTTCAGAATTTGGCGGCGAGGCCCCTGAGCCTGCCGGAGAATAAACTTTGATTCTCCGACTCTCCGTGTGCCGCTCGGTTTGTCCTCGGGACCACTTGCTGTAACATTTTGGTTCCCTGACTGGGAAAACCGACCACACTGGCCCCTTGAAGCCACCAGTTCGGGGACAGGTGCAGCGACCGGTGGGACCTTGGCGACAGAAGCGAACCGGTGCCAATTGCCATTTTGTGGAATATCTTCGTTCCTCAGGAGCTTCAGCCGGCTGCGGGGTCCCGAACTCGCACGGATACACCAGAGGGATGGACAAGTCAAATTAGGTCTGGAGGCATCAGATCAGGTAACGTCCCGGGACCGCCCGAGTCAGGCCCGTCAGATCACGGAAGAGGAGCTTGATCACCTCCTGAGTGCAGGGAGTTCCCAGGGCGGGAACGTGTATCCTCTGCCTGTCTGAATGCATGAGTGAAGAGTGACTGTGGTTTCACCCCTACAGCTACGGAACTTGAGGGGGTCCTCACCTGCGGTTCTGCGGCGGCGTCATACGGCATAACGGTGATTCACTCCCCTAAAGGGAGTGACCAGGCCTGGGGTTTATACGGGCACACCTTCGCTAAGACATGCCTAAGTTCCCGCGAGAGATGCAGCCAGGGGGACACCTGAAACACCCCCCCTTTGTCTGTTAAGCTGCGACACTGTTCAAGGGTCCAGGATGGGTAGCGTAGAATCTCAGCCTACAGTTCTTAAATGCATGTTAAAGAACTTTAAGAAGGATTTCACGGGAGATTATGGCGTCACACTGAGTCCCAGGAGAATTAGGGCCTTCTGTGAACACGAATGGCAACAGGAACCTCAGACCTCCCCACTGTGTGAGCAGTTTGGAGAATTGTGACCAGGATTGTGGCCACCCCGACCAATTCCCTTAGATAGATTCATTGCTAGAGATTGCTCAGACCATGCCCCCTTGGGTCCAGTTCTGTGCTAATAAGGGACAGAGCAGGATTTTTGTGGCCCAAGGACCAGAGACTCCAAACTGTCCAAACCCATCTATCAGGAAGCCCCTGAAGAGGATCCACCATTACCTGTCGCTCCATAAATTAATATAACTATATTAGAGACAGAAATGGTCTCAGGAGTTTTGCAGGGCTTCTCCCTGAAGGAATATGTGAACGTGTTAGTTTGCATATCAAAAGCAGCTTCGCCTCAGGAGGGCATCTCAAAGGTCAGTGGCAGCTACTTTCCAAGGTGACTGCTGCAGGTCTCAACCCCTTGGTTCTTGCCTGCTTTGCAGGACAAAGCAAGGTCTGCATGGAACCATGGGATGAGAGTTGATCCGAGAGTGTCCGCCCAGAGACAGATACCTGCGGCTAAAAACAATTAGCCCAAGGGACGGTTCCTGCTTGACTTCTGATGACCTGTCTCTATCTGCAATAACTAGATAAAGAAATATGGAGCCACTATATCTCTGTTTAACCCTTCTGTTAAGTGATAATTTTATCTTAGAACTTAGAAGTTTGTCCTTGAAAGATTTTGTAACCAGAGTTGGTTAAGGAATTTACAGAAGCCTTTTGAAAGACTTTTAACCCAAAACGAACTACCTGTTATTATGTAAATCTGTTACCCCTGGCAACTGATCTCTGTACCTATAAATGCCCATGTGAAACTTTATTCTGGGCCTTATGATTGACAGGGATATCGTAGTGACCCCTGAGTACCCCGCTTTGCCTTTTATCTTTATAAATCTATAA